TTAAAAAAAAAAAAAAAAAAAAATCCGTTTAATCCGTTACATGGGAAAGCGTTAAGAAGATTGGTTTGGAAATTTAACACAATATAATATGGAAAACGAAACGAAAATAAATTGCACAAGAAATAAATGATTCGTAAACTATAATAATCCATTAAGAAAAAGATTATTTGACTTTGGATTGTTGCAACCTCGTTAAGAAGATATGGTTACAATAAGTGTTGCAATCGTCAGCCTTTGAATTGGACTTGAGAAATAAAAGAGATAAATGATTAATAAATATTAATAACTTAAGAAGGGGAATCCTTAAAGCAGCGAGCATCGCCGTCGCTCTTGAAATCGTTAATGTAATAATGCCTTCCTAAGACAAAGATCGTCCGACTTCTCTCCGATACGTTACACTACACTCACACTCTCTCGCGGTTGCCATTCTTCCCCTCCCCTCCCCCTTCGGCCCGGTCTCGAACGAAGAATAGTCTCTCGCGATCGCTTATCGACAACACACGTGATAGCGTTACAACCGCGCCGACGGTTACGTTATGAATTATAACGAGATTCGTAACTGCATCCAACTGCCGCACAGATAAATCCCGACCCGTCGCGCGATGCACTTGCAACTTTGTAATCGTTACGCAACCCGTGTCGCGCATGGACACAAAGTGCTCGCTCTTCGATGAAGATCGAAGCAAAGAAAAAGAACAAAAAAAGAGGAAAAGCTTCGGCATTGTCGCGCTACACGTATGACAACAACTCGAACGAATAGCATATTTCTCTAGAAGAAATATATGAGAAAAATGTATTTGTGTACATCTGGATATTTAATGACAGTTTAATTTCGAATTAATTAAAAAAAATTTCATCTTCGCGCAATAAGATATTATCACAGATATGCGAAGATCTGTATGTAACTGCTCGTCCACGAGAATATCTTCTTTCTGGCAAGAGAGTGAAGCCGCCGCCCCACCACTTCACCGCGTCACACGTGGTATTTCGTTAAAAACAGTCGAATGTGTAAGCGCTAACAGAGAAAACAAACGAACGTATCGAACGTTTTAAAGGATTGGCTACATTAACTTATATTATATTGACAAAACGTATCCTCACAATTTACGAGAATTCTACTACTATGTCATCACGTTCAACGAATCGATCGACTAAGAGGAAATTCCCCCTCCTCTCCTTTTTTTCTTTTTATATATAATACATAGCAAAGAATTCGCGAAAGAACCATAACCATAAGAGAGATCCTTTTATACGATATTTAAGCGTTCGAATTTTCGAAATGTTCTCGTCGATTTTTACGTGAAACGCCTCCATCACGAATAACACTGAAACCGTTAATTGTTTCCGGCACGCGTCAATCCACGCGCATCTCCCCTCCTTTTCCGTATCGTATCGTGGCGCAAGGAAAGAAAGAAAAAAAAAAAAAATTAACTCTTCTTCCTGTGAATCGTTGCAGATTGAGGATGTCCTCAAAGAGGAAGTCACCACCAACGAAGCTATCGGAGGGCGGGGGCGGCACGGGTACAGTGGCAGGCGCAAACGAGGAGGAGGAGGACACGACCTCGTCGGTGACCGGTGGTCCCGGTGGCGAGGTAGCCGTCGGTGAAGAGGGTCCCACCACCCCCGTCGACATCGAGGACTGTTACCCCCACCAGAGGGGAGGTGACTGCGAGTCGTCCGGCTGCTCGTCGCCGGCGACAACCAGCGAGCCCGATCTCAGGGACTCGCCCTCGCCATCGTCGAATTCCTTGCGGACCAGCAAGCGACAGAGGATCGTGTTGACGGGGCAGGAGGCTCTTGCCTACCATTATCCCCCCCACCACCACCACCACCACCATCATCATCACCACCACCATCACCACACGAACACATCCTCGTCGTCGGGCGGTGTCGTGGAACCTGCCAGCTCCTCGGAGTGCGGCTCGCCCCCCACACCCTTAACCGTCGACCCCTATTACCCCACCCACCCCCATCACAACAACAACAATAACACCGTGACGCAGAATAACAACAATAACAACAACAACAACAACGGCGGGAACGCCACCACCGCGACAACCAAGAGATCCATGGACGACGTGCTGAAGAGGTTAACCTTCAAGATGAACAGCGAGTCGCTGTCGCTCCAGGACGACACGAGTAATAACAGGCGGAACAGCCCGCCGCCCACCTCCACGCCGACCGGGCACAACGCGCATTGGTTAGTTTTTCTTTTCTTTTCTCTCTTTTTTTTAATTGAATGTTTTATTTGGGGAGGGAGGGAGGGAGAGGGAGACAGGTTGATCGAGGTGATCGAAGGCAAGTGAGCGAACACGAGTTTTATATCTTATATCGCGATTAATCTTTTCATAAAAGTTTTTTTTTCATTAAAGTTTCGTGCACACGTAATTCGTAATTAAAAAAATTACGTTAAATATTTATACTTTGAAGTTATATCAAAGAGAAGGAGAAAATCTGTCAATGTGCGTAATAAATTATCTTCGCGAAAGAAAAAGAAAGAGAGAAAGATTATTGAGCATCTTCGAGTATTCGCAATGGCGAAACGGAGATTCGATATGTATGCGAATTGTATAGAGGGCAGGATACCGGTATTCCGCCGTTTGAGAAATAAAGTAGGTCCAGCTGTCGCGTATTCGGCTATTTACAGTTTTCCTTTTCCCCGCTTTCTGCCCGCGATAGTGGACGACGATTAATTAAACGGCGCCAGGAAGTGGCCGGTCAGCCGGAGGAAATGAGGCCTGGCTCCATTGGCCGAGGCGTTCCTTCCTGTTTTCCCCGAATTCGCGGGGTCCGACTTGATTCGGCGATTTTCGGTATCGCCGATTTATTACGATGGCTCGTGTTACGTAATACTTAGCGTACGTGTCTCGTTCTAATTAGCCGATATTGTCTCTCGATATGCCCCAACCGGAGGCATTCGTGGCTGCTTGATTCGTTGCGATGTTGCAATCGCCACGCCTTTTAATCTCCCGTTGTTTGTTTTCCGACTTGTTGTCGATGCCTTTAATAAGAACGCTTTACATAACCGGTAAATACGGAGTTTTAAAAAATGGTGTTTCTTTCTTTTTTTCTTTAATATCGCTGTGAAACGATTATATTCGTCCAACGTTCGAATCGATATTGAATCGATATATAGTGGGACGGAGATTTTGATGCTCGATGAGATGAATTTCGAAAACGAATGTTGAATTGTCGGAATAGAGCGAATTAGGTTAGGCGGAGATAATTATTTTACAATTGAATTAGGAGCTATGGAATTAAAGTTTAGTGAGGCTATCTTCTCGATCCTCTAAATTGTGTTGCAAGAAGTTTAACAAAAGTATAAAATACTATTTGATGTTCGAGAATATTAAAAAATTGTTAACGAAAGTTGTTTATTTTTATGTTAACAAAGAGTATTCCCTATATTTTACGCTGAAGTTATCAATTTTTCGGTTCAATAATATTTTATTCGTATATTTTCGGCGTGTTTGGCCTTTTGTGCAAAATTTCGAACGTATTAACAACGCAAAATTAAAATAGAATTTTCATCTCGAAATGAAGAGAGGCTCTCGAACACATATTTTTTTTTTTTAATAGATGTATCGACGTATAGATTCTTTCTCTTTTCTTCTTTTTTAATTCTGCGCAGCAACGAGAGCTATTGCTATTCAAACATAAAAAGTGTCAGGCAGAATTAGAATTCGTTGATTTCTATTTTTGAAATCTGTTTATCAAAGCTCGAAAGAAAACTGTGCACAACTTACGCTTTACTTTAGAAAAACCAATTTTCAATTCGTATCGAAAGAAAATAAATACCTACTTATTTACGAATCGGAAACAAAATTACAAATCGATTAAAATGATTTATCATCATATCGAGACATAAAAATTCTGCAAAAATTCCAAATCGATCACCGAAATTTTATACGAAATTTTTTTCCATCGGGAATATTTAACGAACACAGACGATTTCGAGTTTAAAAAAACATTGAAAATATTCGTTCGTATATTCGCGATTGTTTGAGCAAAAGCTGGACAGGTTCGATAGAGTTTAGCAGCCTCTCCATTCTGCCCTCTCCTCCGTATCGGTGAATAACAACGCGAACCGCTTAAATTTGGCCCCGCGAGTGGGCCACAAAAGCGTCCATTGTTCGTGGAACGACAAGATCCACGGATTCCAGTCGTAAACTCGACTCTTCGTTACGTTCGAACCGAGATCCATCCGTGAAATACAAAGAGGAGCGTGCGTAAAGGAAGTCGTCGGGAGCGAGGGCCGAGGGCAAAAAAACAAGGGGTCCACAGTGAGAGAGCCTGAAAATATCCGACTTCTCGGCTCTGGGACAAAGAAACGCGTCCATGGAGAGGACGATAAGAAATCGGACGAGTCGACGTCTCATCCTGGACTATGCCTGCGCTCTTCGCCATGCCTCCATCTTCGCGCGGCCTAAAAAACGAGCTCGAGAGGACCAAGTGTCGCTGCTTGATTTTAATGAAACGAATCGAAAGATGGATGGAGCAGGAATCGAATGTCGTTATCGATGTAGTTGGTACAAGTGTTGAAGAAAGTTTTTGTTCGTATTTCATAGTTTTTCCATTGATATTTCGATTAGCTTTTTTCCCCCTAGCTAAAGATTCCTTTAACAGTCCTATGGAATAAATGAGAGATTGACTTAAATTTTCTTTGTTCGAGACGAGAACGAGAATCGATAAAAATGTCTCGTGTTCCTTTTATTATTAATAATCGATGAGAAAAAAATCTAGTAAAAAATTTTAATTTGTCGTTTGGACGTTTATCGTTGTATATTTTTATTTCCAAATCTTCGTATTTTCATCACGTGTATTGAAATCACATTAGATATACACAAAAGAAATACCAGAAAAATGATATATATTCAACGTTCTCTGATCGATTATTTATAAATCTTATTTATGATTTATAACCTTCTTTTAATTATAAAAAAATCGAATCTAGCAAGATGAATGATAATTCTACAAAAACTGTATCTAATTTGTTTACCTTAACATAAATTACAATTTCTTATCTTTCATTTTTCTTCTCCTTCTTCTTCTTCTTCTTCTTCTTCTTCAACTACAATCAACTTCGTGCAACACGGACTGAAAAAAAAAAAATCTATCTCGCGCGGAGCTATAAGTGAAACCTGAAAATTATTCGTCCTGTTACGGGGGGAGGGGAAAAAGCTGGGAAAAAATGGCGGAGAGAAAGAGGACAAGTGAAAAGAGCGAAATTCATCGCGGATACGACGGGAGGGTTGTGTAAGTTATCGCGGACAAAGTCGATATCGCACGGTCACGTAATAATAATTGCTCCGTGTAATCAGAATGAATGAATTGATTCTTTGTATCGGCGCTGAGACGACCGTACGTTTTTCCGTCTCCGTTCAACATCCCCGGGCACAATGTATAATGCAATGCGTCGGGGATACAAAGTGAAGATTATCCCCGCACGTGGCTAATTATGGATCGCAGTCCATCTCGATCGACGATTGCTCCGCTGATCTCACCCAACCTTCCTTTAAGAAACTTATTGTATACGCGTTTAGGTACTTCTTCCTCCGATCGAATCTTCTTTACGATGTAATATAATCAATACCATGGTTTTTATTGAAATTTATTTCGAACAAATTCAATGGGTAAAAAAATTCTTGCAAAAAAATGCCTCTCGTTTGTTAAAATATATAATATTTGTTAAATGGCGTTTCTCGATAAATACGGAATTCTATTTATATGGGTTCGATGGAAGGGCAAGAAAAATTTTTTCGTTCAAATAATTCTTGCTCTTGATAAATTGTAGAGAGATCAACTCTCATCTTTGAAATCGTATCGCATTCGAAATGAAGCGCATTAGCCTACATGAAGAACACTTTGCAAGAATTTTCTTACTGATTGAATTTGTTCGAAATATAAATTCCAATGGAAAAACCGTGGACGCTTCGATCGGGGGAAAAATTGATTAAACTCGTGACGAGGCGCTATCGAGAGGGAAAGAGAGGGAGAGAGAATCATCCGCCAAATATTCGTATTCTATAATTTTCGCGTTTCCCCTTCCCGGAGCCAGAAAATCGAGGAGGGAATGATTGAAACAAAACTGTCGAGCGGGATCCTCTCCGACTGGTAACATCTCGACTGGTAACGTGGAAGAATGCGATCCCGGGTGGCGGGTTGTAACCATTGAAAGCGAACCGGTGAACTTGGCAAGCGCGCGGGAGCGGACGGAATCGTGCCAGGCTGGCCGCTGCCCACACGCCGCGTGCTTATCGGGGCCAAAATTCTTCCAAAATTCAGCCAACTGTGCGACAACTCGCACTTACGTGACGTTCAACCCGACTTTTTGGAACGCGTTCAATTCTGGACGCGGCCCCTCCCCGCGCCCGCCACCCTTGAATATAGAAATACACGCTTGTTTTAACGATCGGGGGCGGGAACAAATTGCATATTTCGGATCGATTGATTATAACGAGTATCAAGAGTTTTGGTTAATTATTTTTTTTTTTTTTTTTTGTTTTTGCAGAGCAAAGGACGATTATTCGAAGTTCCACGAATATTGGCAACCTTGAGTTTAATTTGCCTATTGGAAGATTTTTGAAATTGTTCTCGTTACAGGTCGATTAACAGGAAAGATATTGTGATGTATATAAATACGGTAAATGGAGGATGGAATTGGAGAATTGGGATTTTTGGTTGAATTTTTGATTCATTTACCTTTTGCCTACTTTTTGTTCTCGCTTCGATGAAAATATAGATCGCATCGTTGCGCGTTAAAAATAGTTATGGTATACGAATTTTTAGGTCGATCGAAGCGAGGATTCTAAAAGGGAAGTGTAGATGATCAATGTTCGTTTGTTCGATAACAAGAGCGTTGCTATTTTGTAATCATTCTCTGCTTAGATACCCGGCAATGGCTTTTCAAACTAAATCAAACAACACTGGCATTATTCGCCGGGCGAACCGGATCGCAGCTGCTATACCGTGAATCATTAAATCGTGAAAAGAAATGAGAGATTGCCAATAGGCAATAAATTCGTTATACTTCCTTTACAATTTAGCTTCTCTCACATTTGATATTAAATTCAATGGTTAAAGAAAGTTTGAATGAAATAGTGTTATCAAGCTAGTGTGTATAAAGCTTCAATGTATAAGTGTTTAATAATCAACAAATGGAAGAGAAAAATATATAGGATGGAAATGGAGGATGGGGGGTCTCACGAAATACATTATATTTATTGAATAACATTATTGAATAATCAAATAAAACTTGATTAATAGTCGGAATTGAATGGAACTGTGAGAATATAGAATAATATCGCTATCGTAAGATAAGCGGTATCGTACGTGTATCTAAAATTGTTTAAAAATTGACAAATAGATAGATTAATAAAATTTATCGGAGATAAATGTTTAAATAATAATAAATAATTTTAATGCGATAAAAATGGAATACGTAAATGGAATTATAAAATAATATCTTAATAGTATCTTGATATAAATATTAAATCCTTAAAATCGCAAATCGAGAAAGAGATCCCTGATTCGATTCAACGAAACATAATTTATAAGGTACGCATATTCTCCATTACAAATAGTGACGCGGGTGGAATTAAAACGGGCGCGCCGCGTTTAAAAAATCCGTACATTATTACACGTTCCACTTTTGATACTAATACTCCGCTTGCCAACTTCCATCATACGCGTGTCGCGAGTTTCCAAACGTTTAAACCGGAGAATACACGTATGTGGATAAATGTATCGTCAATTTCATGCTGAACATCTCGAATTCAAAATTACGATTCAGCATACGTATAAAACAACGTAAGAAACAAGAATACGAAGGGGAGGGGATTATTTTTATATGATCTATAAAAATAATCCTTCACCACTAACTATATCATTTATTGTGGCTCTGTCAACTTTTTCAAAATTAATTTTTTCAATCGATGAACGGTGTCGTGGACACCGTAACAATGCTCTCTTATTTCAAAAAAAAAAAGATGTCAAGAGATATTACGATGTGTGAAACGAGATATGTAAACACGAGTAAAAATGGAAGGATTCGTATCGAGAAATCGTGAATATCGAGGTTAGCGAGATATCGCCTGCCTAAGGTGTCGAAGAGTTCGAAGACTCTTGGCCAATGAAAATTCCACGAACGAAATTAACGCGCCCTCTCCTCTTATCGTTCATTCAGCACCGTGGATGACCTTATTTTTAACCGCGCGTTCGCCAAAAATAACGGTATGTCGCAAAATTGGCGTGACAAAAGGAGCAACACGGGTGATACGGTCTATTTTTGGTGAGCCGGAAAGGCTAAATCCTACGTGCAGGTCGAGGAAGGGGGGGGGGGGAAGGAGGGGATGATAATAGGGACAGAATGAGCCTTTTGTTGCCTGATACCGAGGTCAACAGGCGCGAATAGAATCTTGTAGCCGGCCATCGAGCGTTATTATCGGTCTTGAAAGAAAGCTACGCACAGCAAGGGTCTTTCATATGCCGCGCGAGGATAAAGGGACGCGTCTCTCTTATTTCATTTTCGATCAGCAACCATTCGAATTCAGTTTAAAAATTTCAAATATTTCTAAATGTTATTTCCTTTCCTTCTTATTTTTTTTTTTTTTTTTTTTTTTCTTTATTTCGTCGCGATTTTATTTTATTTTATTTGCTTCTTCTGTTTCTAAATCTTTTGTTTATTATATCGCTTCGATTCGACCAAGATCGTGTTTGATATTATATTATTTTTGAGTTTTAGTGATAACGGAAGCGTATATATATATATAGTTGTACGTATATATATTCGCTCGTTTGAAATAAAATTCAAGATTTAAAGGGTAGATAGATATACGATAAGAAATACTTAATACACAGTCATATTAAGAAAGTTAAACTTACATTATGGAAGCTTATATCTTACTATGTTTATTAAATATTCTGTATTTTTAATTATACTTTTGAATTTTAAAATTTCTGCCTCGCCTCCGATCGGTGTATACACTTGACGCGCACGTTCATAATTAATTTTAAAAATTCTCTCTTCCTCAAAAATCATATCCCATCCTATCCTATCGTCCTATCATCATTAATCGAAACAGGAAAAAAACAACAGGAAATTTCTCATCCGACAAATTCATCCGCAAACAATAATTAATACATCTAGAGTGAGAGAGAGAGAGAGAGAGAGAGAGAGAGAGAGAGAGAGAGAGAGAGAGAAAACCACCATCCCCTTTTCCATCGTACGAAAAATATATCGCGCGCATTCACTCTCCATCTCCATCCATACCTGAATTTTCGCCCGGAAGGTTTGAAAACGGTATTTTAAAATTCGACCGTCCCTTTAACCGTTGACCCCGTAAGAAACGCCATGTAACGATACACCGGGCGAGGAGAGAAGAGGGAAGCCTCATATTATTGCCCCAGATCCGGAAGCCGCGCTTCTTTCAATCCTCTCTCCCTCTCCCTCTCCCTCTCCCTCTCCCTCTCTCTCTCTCTCGTCCTTATCCTCTCGTTCTCGCGATGTCCTTCACTTCACATCTCGGTGTATTCTCGTTGGTCGAGCCCATCGCTCCACCACCGGGTTGCGCACAATAGGTCCGGTATCACTTATTCGTGGTCCATTTTCCCCGGTATAAAAGAGGAATGGAACGAGAGCTCCGGGCGTAGACGAGGAGGGCACTCTTTGGGGGGAAGGGAAGAAACCGGTGCTGCGAACAGGGACGGAGAGACGGAAAGAGAAAGAGGTGGAAACAGAGAGAGGGAGAGAGAGAGAGAGAGGGAGAAGGGGGAAGGAGAAAGAGCGGCTGGCTAGGCGGAGGGGAAGGAGAAGAGCGAGAGCACCCCATCACGGCGGCAAACACTCGGGCTACCGTGATTGCGCGGCCGCGACCCTATCTATTATTCACCTGGCTCCCGGCCCTATGTACGCGGACCACTATCCCATTCCAGAGGCTGGAGCCACTGGAAACTCTTGCTCGCACGCGAATAGCCCCGTACGTGGTCGATCTACCTGCTGCCTTCTATTTCTCTCTCTCTCTCTATATATATATATATGTGTATGCTGCATCTCGTTTCCATTCTCCCTCCTTGTCTTTATCCTGTGTTTCTTCTCTCTCTCTCTTTGTCTCTCTTTTTGGAAACGGAAGAGAGGAAGGAAGAGAAAGGCCTCCCTCGTAACGGATAAAGCGTAATTGACCGTGGTCTGTGATGGTGTGCGTTGCAGCGGAGGCGTCGCCAGCGTGGCGAACAGCGTGCCACCCTCGCCCCCGGCATCTGGCAGGATGCAGAACACGGATGGACAAGTGCAGCAGGATGGCGCGTCGGCCTTGCACAGGGTCTTCTGCGCGGAGAGCTTCGCGGAGAAGGAGCGGAGGCTGTCCGAGATGATCCTGCAGCTGCAGCTGCTCAGGGAACAATTGCTGCAACAGCAAGATCAGTCGAAGGTAGGAGATATTTTATTTATTTATTTATTTTTTGGTTCATTCAGAGGCGGATAAGAAGGGGTGGGGGAATAAGACGAGTGGCGAGAGATACGAGAGTGTAACGAATGCTTTTGGCGAGTTTCTATTCAGGGGGTAGTTATTCGGTTTTTGCTTTACAGAGTACTGCGCCGAGCTAATCATCCACGGTTTATAGAAATTAAATTTAAGGGAAGGGGCAAAATTGTTGGGCAATTTGTAAATGTTCATCATTTCCATTATCGTTTCCATTCGTAGTATTTATAAAGATTATTAATTCAATTTTCATTCGTTCTTTGGATATTTTTTTCCCAGTATTTGTAAGATGATGTATCTTATAAAAGAGAGTTATAAAAGAGAGAGATTTTCTATTGGAAACAATTTGAAATCGGTAAATCTTACCTCTTCGCTTTGCCTCTACTCAGATTCGCGCATTCCATACGAAACTAAAACCTCAAACATATCTTGCGTATTTTCTCCTCGAATGTCGAACGAGACGCACTTCTCGCGTATCTGTTTCGAACGGATCGATTTTACGCGGGTCATGGATCTCGGCGTAAGCAGCCACATCAGGTCTGGGATTATTTTCGGCTTATAATCGAGGCCAGCAGAGAAATTGATTGTCTGAGACGCACGAGTTTGGCAAAGCTAATATCATCGATACAAAATTCAAACGACACCCGTGATGGGTTAACGACGCTCGCTTATTACGCGAGATTTATCGATCGAGCGGGGACGAAGAAAGAGGAGAGAACGGAGGCGATCCCTCTAAATTTACGTATTGGCGGGTACAGGATTTGCCGAGAGAATCGGAAAGTGGCTATCAATAGCCGATAATTTGTCTCGTACTATTTCCACGATCCAACTCGCCTCCGGTGTTACGCGGTGACATTTATTTCTCGCGGGACCCGTTAATCCGTTGCCGATCGATCTAACGTTGCTTTCATTTCGGCCGGGCATTCGACTCGTTCGCGGCCCCCGCTATCAACGGGCTATTTAATTAGCATAACCGCGCGGTAACGTGTTATCGATGAAAATCGTGAGAGTTGTTGCCGTGTTCAAAAATAATAAGGATAAGTTATTGGGTGGAGGAAGTTAAATCGGATAAATCGTTTTGAAACGAGACGCAATGAGAAATGTTGTCGCGCGATGACGATAAGCATACGAATATTGCTTGGTTGTCGAAATTGGTTGGCCGCCACGCGGTCGAGGCATATCGAAATGCGATGAAACTTATACAGTGTATGATTGAAATGGCCGATACGGAGGGCGTGCGGAAATTATTAAGGCGATAAAGTGAATCGTGTTCTTTGATATTATCGCGGCAATAGAAGTCGACGTTTGTCAAAGTTTGTAATGGATGCTTCTGTCCACGGTCAAGAGATGTTTAGATTTGTTAAAATTTAACTTCGATAAATCCGTTTCCGTAATATATATTTGAAATAGGAAAAAGATATCTATTTTTTTTTTTTATTATCATAGTTGTCCAATATCTTAGAGAATTAAAGTTATAAAAATTCTCTTATCGAATTCGTGCCATTGATAAATGGTACGAATTTCAAAGAGAATAAAAATTATGATTCGTCGGTAAGAAAAAAATCATGATTAACGTAACGGAACAAACATGATAGTTACAAATGAATATAACTTGTCTAATAATATACCTTGCTTTACATCTAAAAAAAGAAAAAAAAAAAAGAAAGAAAAGAAAAGAAAAGAGAAAGAAAAGAAAAAAAGTCACTGACTCGTTTCTACTCTGTTCCGAGGTTAAACAAATATACAAGTTGCGTTACAAGTTGGTCCAATTAAATCTTAGAAAGCGATCGTGTAATTAAATTTAATTATATTCTCTTACTGTTTCGCTAAACGGGATTATTAGTCTCGCGCGACGTGGAAGGATGGACACGTTTCAGTGAACCACTAACGAAAGAACGAACCGATAAGAATCGGTTGGGGATATTTTTAACAACGATTCGCGTGCAGTTGTGGGTTTAATCAGTAATTATATAGACTATTGCGATATCGGGAGTGAAATCGCTGCCAGTAAAATTAAATTTGAAAATAGAAAAAAAAAAAAAATGAAAAGAATTTTGTTAATGAATAGGAGGCTGTATTAATCATTGTTTTGGATTATGTCCTGAACCTGGGTGAAATTTATTTATTACCTTCGCGATGATATAATATAATAAAATTTGGGAAAATAGAGACGTCGAAAATTTTCTTTACGATTCTTCTTCGAAGAGATATTACTCGTGTTTAATTTCCAATATTTTTTAAGAATCGCTCGCGTGAAAGTTGCAGGATATTATATATTACACATTATATCCGAGATACTTTGAACGAAATTTTCCTTCCCTTTTATATACATTGCCCAGAATATTACGTTTTTTATTCTAAAAAAAAAGGAAAAAAAGGATATATATTATATTACGTAAATAAACCTAGATAATTTTCATTTCTCTTTAATGTGTAAAATAAAATGAGCATGCAGCTTCGATGGAAAAAAAAAAAGAAAAATTTCTTTAAGCGTAAAAGAAATAATATAGACGTAGCAATCTGTATAAACTGTCTGACGCGTAATCGAGTGATCATTTCAACTTTAACGATTTTCTTTTTCTTTTTTTTTTTTTTTTTTTTTTTTTTTTTTTAATAAAGGAAGTTAAAAAATAACGAACGCATAAATAGATCGTATCGGAACAGAATGATCGCCGATCATGCTAATGTATTTATATTATTCTTCGATAATGCATGTTATTTTTCATTAAACATTGGAAAAATCCTATATGCATCAATATCTCGTTGCATCAACTCGAAGAAGAATACATCTTTACCTTTCTTACACGTATCCACGTACGATAAAGTTAATTTTTAAAATCGTCACAATTGATATCGGTAGGCACAGTGCCTACGCTTGATTACTAGTCACATGCTCGAATCTCTCACGTTCCTCGCCAGTCGTATCCAGAATTCACTACTCATCCATCACGAAGAAGAACAGAGCCGCGCGATCTCGCATAGTCATCGCGCTAACGTCATCGAGGACATGAAATTCTCGAGGACAATGCTCGATTCGATCGGCTAGATAGATCCTATCTACGATGCATCGACGATGACTAGATTGCCCATCCGCGACCCGAAAAACCCGTGGGTCATCGCGTGGAAGCGATGGTAACAACAGCTCGCAAGGGAGAAGCAGCGGCGAGAAACCTGTCTGCCCGCAAAAATGCGAGCGCGTGCAGATAATACCCGACAGTATTACCGTTATTATGCCAGTCATTTACGTGTTGCACACGCACGCACGCACGCACGCACGCCCTCCCCCCTTCGCTCCGCCAAATTCACCCCGAGGCGGGACGATGAACACGCTTTTAAGCAAACACGCTCGCTGTGCGGTGTGGCGTGGCCTCCACTATTACCTGGAACGGTCCCGTGGGATCACCTGGTAGCTGGAAGCGTGTCGAGAGAGTTGGGTTGATGGGCAGTGACACCGGGGGTCGATGATAGATTTTCAATTGACGGTTGCGGCCTGGGGGAGGGGGATGGAAGGGGAGAGGAGATGATAAGGCTTCTTCGTTACTCGTTGATGACGTTAATGACGCCCATCCGGTGAATCGATCGCGAGCAGATTGGATCTCCCTTCCCAGTTTTTATTATTCTTCTTCTTCTTCTTCTGGTTTTTGGTTGATTTTCTTCTCGGCCGTGTAATCAACGGAATCGATTCTTAAATCGATTTAACGCGATGATCTCTGTTGATATCCGCGCTGCGTCTCCCCGCCGCTTTCCACGAACCGGTATTTGGTAAAAAAAGAGAAGAGTAATTATAGCGCGAACGTATAATTAACGATTAGCATCCTATCATTATCCAACTTTTTCTTTTCTTCTTTTTCTTTTCTCTAAGCAAGCGCCGCTAAAAATCTGTCCCTCGAACAAATTTCTCTCCGTTTCTCTCGATCGAACCACAGAATTATGAAAAGAAGCTCGATGAGACGAAGAGGAAGATGCATCGAGGATCCTTCCGATGGCCGGAAACCGCGCGTCGCGGTGTGGCGGCGTCGCCACGCTCGTTCTGATTCCTCCGCTCGGCGTTGTCTCGCGGCGCTCTTCGCAAGGGTGGAGAACGTTTTCTCGTCGGCCATTTCATCGGCACCGAGTGAAAACGCGTTTGTCGGCGGCGTTTGCGCAGGCAGCCGCCCGCCTCGAGAGTTGGCCGACGTTAAAACGGAAGTGCGACCGTGAAGGAAAGGTAGAGGAGAGGAGAGGAGAGGAAAGGAGGTTGGTGTTGGTGGGTCGTGGAGTTGGGTGGCGGGTCGAAAACAGGGGGAGGGGACCGAGATGGCACGAAACGAGTGCACGGTGGTAGGAAAGAATGAGATGCCAAGGAGAGAGAGAAAGAGAGAGAGAGAGAGAGACGGACGTAGAAGAGAGAGAGAGAACGTAGGAGGAAGGCGGTAGTCTGAGCGTTCTCCTCCTCTCGGATCCCGGAGGGCGTATAGTAATGTTCGAGTTGGCAGACTCGGGGTCGAGTGGGGATCTCCCTCTCCTCTGTTCCCCTCTCTTGCTCTCTCTTCCCCTCGCTCTCTCTCTCTTCCTCCCTCCCTCTCCTTCTCTCTCTCTCTCTCTCTCTCTCTCTCTCTCTCTCTCTCTTACCTTTTCCACCTGTTATGCGACTCTCCTGTGCCATGCTGCATTGGCAGCACAGGTGTGCGGCCACGTAGGTACTCGAAAGCGCACACCACCTTCCCAACGGCTACACCTTTCGACCTTTCTCTTCCTTCTCTCTCAACCTGCACACGCCTGTACTCTCTCTCTCTCTCTCTCTCTCTCTCTCTATGTATCCTCCTCGACTCCTTTCCACAGGAGGTCTCCTCTTCCTTTCCTTTTCTTCTCTTTCCTTCCTCGCCCTTCCCTTCCCCTTCGCGTTAAGAATACCGTGTCTCGCTTCTTCTTGGACAAGCCTGCGCTCTCACTCTCACTCTTTCTCTCTC